ACCCAGGAGGCGGAGGTTGCGGTGAGCCGAGGTGGCGCCATTGCACTCAAGCCTGGGTAACAAGAGTGAAACTCCGTCTCAAAAAAAAAAAAAAAGAAGGAAAATCCCAAGTCCAGGTACAGTAGTTGATGTCTGTGATGCCAGAATTTTGGGAGGCCGAGGCAGATGGATCTATTGAGGTCAGGATTTTGAGGAGGTCAGGAGTTCAGCCTGACCAACATAGCGAAACCCCGTCTCTACTAAAAATACAAAACTCAGCCTGGTGTGGTGGCACACGCCTGGAATCCCGGCTATCCAGGAGGCTGAGACAGGAGAATCTCTTGAACCCCAGAGGGGGAGGTTGCAGTGAGCCAATATCACACCACTGAACTCCATCCTTAGCAACAGAGCAAGACGCCATATGAAATAAAGAAATAAAAAAATAAAGAAAAACAAAATCAAAAAACAAAGAAAGCATTTCCAGTTGCGCCCTCAGAAATGTCATGTCTCTTGCTGGCTTTTCTGAACCTAAGTATTTCCATCCCTAGAGGGGGACACCAAGGCCATGGTCACACCTGATGTGACTGTCTCATGAGGAAACCATGGAAATGACTTTATGACTCTGCAGTGGTCCCTGCGTGTCTGTGGGGAGAGCATCCTGGCTTCTTCCCAGCTCTCCAGCCGGTAGATTCTCACACCCAGGGCCTCCTTCAGCCTCTTCTCAGGGCAGTCTCAGAGTGGGAGCCTCTCTCAATTGCCCAGTGAAAGTCACTCTCTCCTCTCCCATCCACCTCACCCGCGGCCACCATCCTGAGACTTTCCCTAGGGAGGCGCAGTTCTCCTGGCTGCCCTGTTTCTCCCATGGAAACTCCTTTCTGCTTCTCATGCTAACATCTGCTCTCTAATCACAGAGGATCCTGTCGTGAAAAGATTCCTGGCCTGGGACAAAGATCTGAGGGCATCCGACAAGGTAAGGTCGTTCTCCACGCAACTGTCTTCCTGTTCCAACACACAGCCTGGGGGAGGGCACAGCTTCCACACCCACAGTTCCCGTCCCCTCTCCCTCCACCAGCTCCCACCTGACGCTCTACAGTCTTATTTTATTTTATTCTGAGACAGAGTTTTGCTGTTTCCAGGCTCAGGGCAGTGTCCCTATCTTGCCTCAATACAGCCTCCACCTCCAGGGATCAAGTGACTCTCCTGCCTCAGCCTCCCAAGTAGCTAGGATTGCAGGCGTGCACCACCATGCATGGCTAATTTTTGTGTTTTTTGTAGAGGCAGGGTTTTGCCATGTTGGCCATGCTGGTCTTGAACAGCTGACTGCAGGTGATCCACCTGCCTTGGCCTCCCAAAGTGCTGTTACTACAGTCATGAGCCACTGTGCCCAGCCAGCTCCCACCGTCTTGAGACGTGACACCAACCTAGGTATTTGTTTCTTTTTTGTGGTTTTTGTTGTTGTTTTTTTTTTTGAGACAGAGTCTAGCTCTGCTCACTAGGATAAAATACAGTGGCCTCTAATTCCTGGGTTCAAGCAATTCTCCTGCCTCAGCGTCCTGAGTAGCTAGAACTACAGGCACATGCCACCGTGCTCGACTCATTTTTGTAATCTTTGGAGAAAGAGGGTCTCACTATGTTGCCCAGGTTGTTCTCGAATTTGGGCTCACGTGATCCTCCTGTCTCCGCCTCTCACAGTACTGGGGTCACAGGCTTGACCCACCACTCTCAGCTGTTCTTGGTCTTTTTATGATTTGTCAGCATCTCCCTCGGGACTCTGCTGGTTTCTTGCAGAGTGAGTGAGTGGCCCCTGCCTCTCCTAGG